CCCGCGCCGCTGCCGCGTCCCCACGGTCACCCCCGGGCCTGCTGCCACCCCAAGTGTCCCCAGCACCACCCCAGGACCACCCGGCGCCACCCCTGATGGCACCTCGGCAGCCTCTGATGGCATCTCAGTGGCCTCTAATGGCACCTTGAGGTCCTCCAATGCCATCCTGAGATCTCCTGATGGAAGCTTGGGGTCCCCCAGTGCCATCGCAAAGTCTCCTGATGTCACCTTGGGGTCCCCTGATGCCACCCGCATCCCTGGTGCCACCCATGTCACAACCAATGGCACCCGCGTCCGGACTGATGCCACCTTGGGGTCCTCCATCGGCACCCTGGGGCCTGCTGGTGCCACCCTGGAGTGGCCCAATGGCACCCTGGCGCGTCCCGATGTCACCCTGGGGTCCTGCCGGCCCTACGGGACCTCGTCGCCCGCCAACGGCACCACCGGCCCTCGGCCCACCGAGCCCTGCCACGATGGCTGGGAGTACGACCTCAGCGTCTACGTGGCCACCCTCGTCACCGAGGTGGACATGGGGACGTGGGGCTGGGGGAGGGTGAGGTGGGGAGGGATGGAGGGTGGGGAGATGACCACGGTGTCCATGTGGACACCAACATCTCCACGGTGGGGACGGGGGTGTGGGGATGGAGGAGGGGACCATCTGGAGATGGAGGGGTGGAGAAGGAGTTTTGTAGGGTTGGAGGGATGGAGATGGAGCCATCTGGAGATGGAGAAATGGAGATGGAGCCTTGTAGGGTTAGAGGGACAGAGATGGAGCCATCTGGAGATGGAGGGGTGGAGATGGAGCCCTATAGGGTTGGAGGGATGGAGATGGAGCCGTCTGGAGATGGAGGAATGGAGATGGACCATATGGAGATGAAGGGCTGGAGATGACATCCTACAGGGTTGGAGAGGTGGAGATGGAGCTTTCTGGAGATAGAAGGGTGGAGATGGAGCCACGTGAAGATGGAGGGGTGGAGACTGAGTCCTATAAGGTTGGAGGGATGGAAATGGAGCCATGTGGAGATGGAGGAATGGAGATGGAGCCATATGGAGATGGAGGGGTGGAGATGGAGCCATATGGAATCACATGGGGAAGATGGGGCTGATGCCAGGTGGAAGTGGTGGAAGGGGTGGGTGGGTGGTGGGGAGGCCATCCTGACCCCCTCCCCGTCCCCACAGTGGGACCTCGTCTGTGGCTACCGGCAGCTCCGGCAGATGGCCCAGTCTGTCTACATGGCCGGGGTCCTGGTGGGCGCCCTGGTCCTGGGGGGCCTCTCAGACAAGTAAGGGCAGCAGGACCCCACCCCGTGCCTCAGTTTCCCCACGGGGGAGTGGACAGACCATCACCCCGTGGCACCCAGTGGCACCCAGTGGCGGTCCGTTGCAGGTTTGGGCGCAAGGCCATGTTGATGTGGTCCTACCTGCAGCTGGGGGTGATGGGGACCTGCACGGCCTTTGCCCCCAACTACGCGTCCTACTGCGTCTTCCGCTTCGCCGGTGGCATGGCCCTCTCCGGCGTCGGCCTCAGCATCGCCTGCCTGGGTGAGGGGACAGCGATGACCACGGGGACCTGGGTGGGGACAACCGGCGTGGCCAGGGATGGGGATATCGCTGTGGCCATGCACAGGATGACCCCATGGGCATGGACCGAGATGTCCCAATGGCCATGGATGGGGACAACCCCATGGGCATGGATGGAGATGTCCCAATAGCCATGGATGGGGACAACCCAACGTCTGTTGATGGGGATGTCCCTTTGGCCATGGATGGGGACAACCCCATGGCCATGGGTGGGGACATCACGTGGCCATGGGTGGGGACAACCCAACGGCTGTTGATGGGGATGTCCCAATGGCCATGGATGGGGACAACCCAGTGGCTGTGGATGGAGATGTCCCAATGGCCATGGGTAGAGACATCACCATGGCCATGGGTGAGGACACCACCATGGCCATGGATGCAGACATCCCCAACACCCATGGCTGGGGACATCCCCCTCCCTACAGATGGGGACATCCCAGTGGCCACTGATGGGGCCATCACCATGGCCACAGGCGGGGCCACGTGGTGTGGACACATCTGGACATGCTGAGGAGGCCACAGTCACAAGGAGGGTGATGGAGGTGGGCGGGGGGGGACACATCGAGTCAGCCGTGTCCCCGTGGTCCCTTGCAGTGGTGGAGTGGATCCCCACGCCCTACCGCGCCGTCACCGTGGCCATCACCGGCTTTGCCTACACCCTGGGCCAGATCCTGCTGGCTGGCTTGGCCTACGCTGTCCCCCACTGGCGCTGGCTCCAGCTCACCGTCTCCGTGCCCTACTTCGTCTTCCTCCTCTACTCCTGGTAGGATGCTTGGGACCTTCAGGGAAGGCCACGTGGGGCTCTCGCCATGCCTCAGTTTCCCCCTCGCTGACTGCAGGTGGTTGGCTGAGTCTGCCCGGTGGCTGGTGCTCTCGGGGAAGGCTGACAGGGCTGTGAAGGTCTTGCAGCGAGTGGCCATGATGAACAAGAAACAGGAGGAAGGGGAGAAGATCACGGTGGAGGTCTGGTGGTCCCGTGGTGGTGGTGGTGGGGTCTTGGTTTCCCACCCCGTCCCCCACCAACCTCTCCTGTTTCCCCCTCACCCAGATCCTGAAGTCCAACATGAAAGAGGAGTTGGCCGGTCTGAAGTCCTCCTACACCATCTCTGACCTGGTCCGGACCCCGGTCATCCGTCACATCTTCTTCTGCCTCTCCATCATCTGGTGGGGCTGGGCTGGGGAAGCCTGGTGGGGAGGAGGAAGAGGAGGAGAAGGAGGGAGGAATGGGTGGAGAGTTGAAGGGATGGATGGATGGATGGATGGATGGATGGATGGATGGTTTGTTGGATGGATGGATGGATGGAAGGATGGATGGAAGGAAGGATGGGTGGAAGGACGGATGGGTGGAAGGACGGATGGGTGGAAGGACGGATGGAAGGCCAGACGCTTGGAGAGTTGGCCAGACATATGGATGGATGAATGGGAAGATGGACATCTGGACAGCCAATCGGTGAATCCAGCCATCCAAGGGTACCTCAGCCCTCTCCTCCTCCACCTGAGGTCTCTGCTCTGTCCCGTGGGATGGTGACATCCCAGGGAGGTCATGCCACCTCAAGGTCCGTGCCTCTCTCTGCCCTGCTCCAGGTTCTCCATCAGTTTCTCCTACTACGGGCTGGCCATGGACCTGCAAAACTTCGGCGTCAGCATTTACCTCATCCAGGTGATTTTTGGTGCCGTTGACTTCCCATCCAAAGTGGTGGTGACCATCGCCGTGAGCTACATCGGCCGGCGGGTGTCTCTCATGGTGGCCCTCATCTCGGCGGGGCTGGTCATCATCGCCAACATCTTTGTCTCCACAGGTGGGTGCGATGGGGTGATGGGCAGGTCTTCTGCACCACTCTGTCCAGCCACCCGTGTCCCCACCGGTCCATCACACAGCTCTGCTTTGCTCTTCCACCAGCCCACCCTTCTCCATGCATCCATCCATCCACCCATCGAACCACGTCTCCATCCATCCATCCACATCTCCATCCATCCATCAATCCACATCTCCATACAACCATCCAGGTCTCCATCCATGTCTCCATCCATCCATCCATGTCTCCAACCATCAGTGCATCCATCCACCCATCCATCCACGTCTCCATCCACCCATCCATCCACCCATCTATCCACGTCTCCATTCATCCATCCACGTCTCCATTCATCGATCCACGTCTCCATCCATCGATCCATGTCTCCACCCATCCATCCACGTCTCCAACCATCCACCCACCCATCGATCCACGTCTCCACCCATCCAACCGTCCACGTCTCCATCCACCCATCAATCCATGTCTCCATCCACTGATCCACGTCACCATCCATCCATCCATGTCTCCATCTATGTCTCCAACATCAATCCATCCATCCATCCATCCATCCATGTCTCCACCCATCCATCCATGTCTCCATCCATCCATCCACCCATCCATCCATGTCTCCATCCATCCATCCATGTACGTCTCCATCCACCCATCCACGTCTCCACCCACCCATCCACTCCAGCTGTCCATCCCTACATCCTCCCTTCTTTCCCCTCCCCCCTCCCCGAGGTGGCTCCCGCCCGGGCGCAGCGCCCACCACGTCCCCCTCTCCACCCCAGAGCTGCAGATGGTGCGCACGGCGCTGGCCGTCATCGGCAAGGGTTGCCTCTCCGCCTCCTTCAACTGCGTCTTCCTCTACACCACCGAGCTCTACCCCACGCCCATCAGGTAGAACCCTGGTCCCACCACCCTGCAGTGGGGCAGGTCCCCTGTCACCCACCCGTGACACCCCCACGGTGGGCCCTGCCCCACGGTGACCCCTCCCCTCCATCACCGGCAGGCAGACCGGGTTGGGCTTCGGCAGCACCATGGCCCGAGTCGGTGGCATCGTGGCGCCGCTGGTGAAGATGATGGATGAGTACTACCCCTTCTTGCCCCCTGCCGTCTATGGGGTGGCCCCCGTGGTGGCGGCCGTGGTGGCCAGTTTCCTCCCGGAGACCCTCAACGCGCCACTGCCCGACAGCATCGAGGAGGTGGAGAGCAGGTGGGCATGTGGGGGGAGGGATGGATGGAGGGAGGGATGGATGGAGGATGGTTGGATGGAGAATGGATGGATGGAGGATGGATGGATGGAGGATGGAGCATGGATGGATGGAGGATGGATGGAGGGAGGGACGGTTGTATGATGGATGGATGGATGGATTGATGATGGAGGATGGATGGATGGAGGATAGAGCATGGATGGATGATGGATGGATGGATGGATGGATGGTCAGATGATGGAGGATGGGTAGATGGATGGATGATGGATGGTTGGAGGATGGATGGATGGATGGAGGAAGGACAGATGGAGGATGGACGCATGGAGGATGGATGGACAGATGGATGGAGGACAGATGATGGACGGTTGGACAGACTGAAAGACGAAGGGGTTTTGGTTGGCTGGACAGCTGGATGGACACAGTGCGAGCTGGGCTGCTTCCCACCTTGTCATTGGCTGCACCATCCCAGCATGCCCCACAGCCCCTCCTCCTCCTCCTCTTCCTCCCTCCAGGGCCAAACGGAAGAAGGCAGATGACCCCAAAGAGAAGATCCCACTCCAGACCCAGGACAAGGCCCTGCTGAAGGAGGCCTGAAGGACCACGGGCGGATGAGTGGGGGACAGCACCTGGTCACCAGCAACCACCTTCTCCCATGGGTCCCTGCAGCCTTGTTTTGGGGCTAGGTACGAACTAGTTGCCTGCCCCACGGCTGGTGACCTCTCTGCGTGGGGCAGGGGAAGTCCATGGAGAAATAAAGCTGCTCTTCTGGGGACCGCATCTCTGGGTGTTAACTGAGCCCACCCAAGGTCACCTCCAAGGAGATGACACCCAATAACCACGTCCAAAGTCACCTCCAATAGGAAAATGCCTAAGAACCATGTCCCCGGGGTCTCCTCCAGTAAGATGGCACCCCAGAACCCCCATGTTGGAGGTCACCTTCAAGGACACCTCATAACCTTGTCTCCAAGGTGACCTCCAGTAGGACAAGGCTGAAGAACCTGAGGTCACCTGTAGTAAGATGATGCCCAAGAACCCCCCACATTGGAGGTCACCTTCAAAGACACCTCATAACCTGGTCCCTGAGGTGACCTCCAGTAGGACAACACCAAAGAACCTTGGCCCTGAGGTCACCTCCAATAGGACAATGCTGAAGAACTGTGGCCCTGAGGTCACCTCCAATAAGCTGATGCCCAAGAACCCCCCACACTGGAGGTCACCTTCAAGGATACCTCATAACCTTGTCTCCAGGGTGACCTCTAATAGGACAACACCAAAGAACCTTGGCCCTGAGGTCACCTCCAGTAAGCTGATGCCCAAGAACCCCCATGCTGAGGGTCACCTTCAAGGACACCTCATAACCTGGTTCCCCAAGGTGACCTCCAACAGGACAACACCAAAGAACCATGGCCCTGAGGTCACCTCCAGTAAGCTGATGCCCAAGAACCCCCACACTGAGGGTCAGCTCCAACAAGACGACACCCATTAACCCCCAACCCACCCAACTCTCATCCCAGGAAAGGGGTCCCCCACCTCCCAAGGAAGAGCGAGGACCTCCCAAACCCCACCCCAACCCCCTCCAGCAACCCCATGGGGCTGCCGCCATGACGCCCCTTCCCCGACTTCCCCCACCACCACCTCTCAGGCCACCCCAGCCCTTGCCCCTGC